GGAGACACAGAATCTGAAGCAGGCTCCAGGCTGTGAGCTAGNTTTTTTTTTTTAAATTTTTTAATGTTTATTTCTGAGAGAGAGAGAGACAGCGTGAACAAGGGAGGGTCAGAGAGAGAGGGAGACACAGAATCTGAAGCAGGCTCCAGGCTGTGAGCTAGCTGTCAGCACAGAGCCCTATGCGGGGCTCGAACCCACGAACTGTGAGATCATGACCTGAGCCGAAGTCGGACGCTTAACCCACTGAGCCATCCAGGCGCCCCAAGATGTTTAATCCTTTTAAATGCCTGAAGATTAATCTCTGGAGCTATCATTTACTTACTTATTTGTTCTCAATCTGCTAAAACATGTGTTCCTACATGCATTCTAAAGTATTTAGGGGTGAAGTTTGAGGATGTCTGTAATTTTCCAGTGTTCTGGGGAACAATATGTATATGTGAATGTGTATGTTATGTATATGTATGCAAATGTGTATGTATCTGTATATATGTGTATACGTATGTGTGTATATATGTATGTATATGTGCGTGTATGTCTATATGTGTATATGTATATGTGTGTAGGTATATATGTGTGTCTGTATATACGTGTGTCTATATGTATATATGTGTATATATGTGTATGTATCTATGCATGTATGAAGAAGGAAAGAGAGAGGCAGAGAATGAGAATAAAGTGAAATGTTAATAATTGGTGAATCTAAGTGAAATGCCATTTTCTCACTTTTTTAGTCTGTTAGAATTTTTCAAAATTAAGTTAAAAGGTGAAGCAAACAGCTACCCACTCTTAGGCTATGTGTATCATCCGTGAGCAGGAGGCTGACACCAGGGATCAAAGGTGGCAAGCAGGGTGCCGGGCTCAGCGCGGTGCCGCCAGCTCTTTCCACCTTCCTGTGTTCTTTCTCCTCCATTGAACTCTCCACACATTGTTGGTCATTTTCTTATGCCTGGCCCTGCTTTTCATCTTATTCCTCCGTTTTCGTACCCTGGGTGTAGTGAGACATAGTTGTGTGGAAAAGAAAAAAAGAATTGTCATTCAAATTCTTGGAACCAGCTGCCTTTAAAATTTCTTTCTTCCAGTAAGAAGGTCAACTGAGATTCAGGAAATGTCAAATTGTCTGTAATTTAAAGACACTTTGAAAGAAAGTAGGGCGGGAGAGGAATGTTTTGTTGCAAACCTCTGCAGAACGGATTCTTTTTCCTTTGGGCCTGCCAAAGACTAACTATTTCCCACGCTGTGGCAATTTGGGTTCCAGCCTTTTCCTGAAGTTTTGATTATTAAAAGTGATCACTACTACATGTTTGTGGTTTAATTGTCTGAAGCCACTTCCTGAAGAGGTCACAGCAAAGCAGTTGTTTTTTGCTAAAGTCCTCAGAGGGAAGCCAAGACAATTCCCTTGGCTGAGGGGGGCCTGGAGGGGGGAGTGAGTGGAGGGAGGGATGGGGAGCACAACAGTTTAGGGTTTCATTCCACTGGAACAGGGTCCTTATTGAAATACTACTTCTCACCCTGAGCAGACATGTGCTTCTGAGAAGAAGGTTAATATCCAAGTGGCTTTCAATGCATGACAAAGAAAGTGAGGGGACTAGATTTCTCTAAGACCTTTCCAGCTCTGTAGCTCTGTGAAGCCTCAGCTGACAGCTCCCCCTGGATGGATACAGCCTGACTCTCTGGCATAAAAGTAATTTTAAACATGGTTACAAACCACATAACTCAAGGCTAAGCCTGCACCTGAGTCCTGGGAGGTGCTCTTATCCAAAGGGAGGCTGCTCAGCTACTCCTACTTTTGAGTTGAAATTACTTTTTTTTAAGTTTATTTATTTATTTTGAGAGAGTGCTTGAATGCACGAATGGTGGAGGGGCAGAGAGGGAGAAAGAGAATCCCAGGCAGGCTCTGCGCTCAGAACGGAGACCGCTCTGGGGCTCGATCTCACAAACCGTGAGATCATGACCTGAGCTAAAATCAAGAGCTGGATACTTAACCCACTAACCCCCCAGGAGCCCCATAAAATAAGTGTTTTCTTTTAAGTATGTTCTACGCCTAGCGTGGGACTTGAACTCATGACTCTAAGAGCAAGAGTTGGATGCTTTACAAGCTGAGCCAGCCAGGAAGCTAGCTGAGTTGAAGTGGCTTCTTAGAGTCAGTCAGCAGAAACTGTTTGAAACAGATGAGCATCGGAAAGAGAGCCAGTGAGAACACAACATTTGACCTGGTAGAGCTCCTTTCCCTGGGGTCCTTTTTATAAACTTTGAAAAGTTTCCATATTGGGGTTCAGTTGTCTATGTATGACAGGAAGTCTAAGCATGTAACTGTCTTGTTGCCCCAGGACTGTCAGCAAGTGGTTTGCACCTTGAGACCCAACATGGTGGCTGCCATCCACCCACCACGTCCATACTGAGTCAGCAGGAAGAGAGACCAGTAGAGACTTTTAAGGCTTTTGAGGAGGCTTTTAAGTCGCCTTCCCGGGAGAAGCATACATTTCCGCCTACGTTCATTGGCCCAAATTCTGTCCCTAGGCCACTCCTAGTTGCAAGGAAGGACGGGAAATGAAGCCTTTGTGTGGGCTAGTAATGTGATAGTCAGGGGTTCTATAATGGGCAAAACAGGGAGGACAGATCTTAAAGGAGGAAACTAGCAGCAATTGTCATAAATTCTATATTTTTGAGGTGTAAGGGCTTTGGAATCAGCAGTCTTGGGTTTAAACTTCAAGTCCTGCTTACTTGCTGTGAGATGTTGGTCAAGCTATACAACCTCCTAGATCTCTTGTATTATGTCATCTGTCAAATTGGCATCATGATATTCACATCATGGGGGTAATATGAGAAAATTCATTTTCTCAGTATTTGGCTCAGGAGCTCACTATTACACCAGTCCTTGTGTCACCATCTTTGACTCAATTCTCCTATTTGGATACGTGGTATTGGTTATACATGTGTATTTGACTCCCTCTTTTTTCATATCCGCTCTAGAGAACCAGCGAGTCTGACCGGGACAGGTGCAGTTGGGGATGCGAGAAGCTAATGTGTGTGCAAAGAGGGCAAAGCAACTTGGTCCATGTTGATGTGACTCTTATGCTAATCAAGTGGCCTGCTTAACCTGAGGCTTGGGTTAGTGGTTAAAGTCACAGGAAATATTTGTGTTTCAGAAGCATGTGAAGGATAGGACCATGCAGAAGCAGGAAGAGCTTAGGGGAAGCTGCCCTGGGGCAGATACCCAACTAAGGGGAAGATCTCAGGTCATTTTGCTGCCTACCCAGGCTCCACATAACCCGAGGGGGAGGTCAGACTGCGACCCTGAGCACGTGCCTTTGGAGGAGAGAGGGTTTCTAGCATGCAAGGGTTACTTCCTCAGTTTGCCAACCCTGCCCTGGTCACTTATGGTCCATTTGGGTTTACTGTGAGACATTCAGAATGGTATCTATTCTAGGGACAGGGAACAAGTTAAACTTTACGGGATTGGGGGAGGGGTGGTAGTAGGGAATTATTTTTCCCCCTAGATTCACTCCCCACTCCCAATTTCCTGCTAGACTTTTGATCGTAAATAATCTCTGGTACTCTCTGGGACTGGGTATCTCATAGGTCTTGAGGGCTGTGAATGAGACCAGGCCTCTGTTCTCAAGACTGTTCCCACCCAGAGGAGCCAACACGACACAGCCGTGGCAGACGTCATCACTACTCCCTGGTATTTCCCCTCCCGGTGTAACTCGGAGCTCCTCCAACTAGAAGTGGAAGTAATCTCTCCAGTGATGGCAGCTTTGGCCACATGACTTGCTTTGGCCTGTGGAATGTGGGCAGACCAGCAGTGAGCTAGTTCTGAGCAAGACCTTGAGTGCTCTTGCCCACATTGCTTCCTTTATTGCCATCATAGAAGGAGATCAACTCCCAGCACTCGTAGGTTCAAGGAGGATGAGAGACACATGGCGGAGACTTCAATCCCACCGGAAGCACGGGGTCAAACCTAACACCCGATCTAAGTCGGCCAACCCCTATCTGATCCATAGACTGTGAGCTAGAATTGTTTTACACCATTGGCGTAATCGCAGGGAGATTGTTTTATGCATTTCAGTTTTGAGACGGATTGTTGGCAGTATGGCTGTGGCAACGGTCAGCTAATAAAACAGACAATTACATTATGGTGCGAAAGAGACTGCAGGGTGATACAGAGGCATCTGCGGCTCCAGTCTTGGGAAGTAGGTCGAGTGGAGTGCTTTATGAACTTGTGTAAGTTATTCACTATCTGTAACTTATTTTGCTTTTCCTCCTGGGATGCTCTAACCAGAGTTAGCGGTACATAGAATCCATCGGGTATGTCAGAATTGTATGTAAAATAAGAGCTAATTCATAGAGACAGTAAGACAAATTCTTCAACAAGTAAAAATATAAGGACCTTTTGATTTCTAGTGATTAAGTCATTCATTCATTCATGCGTGCATTCATTCATTCAACAAGTAGAACTTAGGGATACAGTTGTAAATAGGATCCTTGAGCACACGAGCTTACACTCCACAGGGAGGGGACGTGGTTGATGATGAATGCCACAGGTAGCAATAGAGCAGGAAAGAGAAATGTGCAGCATTCACACAGAAGGGTGGTGCTGCTTTACACATGAAGGCCAGGGAAGACCTCACTAGAACGATTTTGAGTAAGGACCTGAAGGTTGGGGAAAGAGCCTGGGCAGTGGCCACAGCCAAGGAAAAAGCATCTCAATTCAGGGTCGGGAGTGCTAAGGAGCACGTCAGGAGAGAGAGACACTTAGGATATGGAACACCTCTTCCAAGACACCTTGTTAGTGCTCTCGGGAGTTGATGTAAGGTGTGCTCAGGGAATACAGCTACTGAGGAGCAAATCCGAAACTTTTGTGTTTTCTTCTTTATAAAGCCTGGGCAAAAAGATTTCTGTCATCAGGTGAAGCCTCCAGAGCCTCCTGCTGGGACCATCGTCAAGGAGTTCTCTCTCTGGGTGTATGTGGCTCCTGGTGACCCCTCTGTCTCCTCCTATAGATTACGGGGTGCTGAACCTGCGATCTCCACCTCTCCATCTCGTGTCCTCCAGAAGTTGCCGGAAACAATGTTCATTTTGTACGTGTTGATGATGGGTGTTTATTCCTTCACCGTTCAGCCTGAGGAACACAGAGGTGAGAAATGAATCTTTCAGCTGGAAAGGGCTTGCCTTAGCTTCCCTGGGGGAAAGCAGTTGTTTATCTAGTGAAGTCTGTGTTTTCTAAAGGCAAGGTGTGACCGATGCTTCCTCCGGCGCATCTCTTCTGTTGCACTGTGCCTGCTCTGGGCATCGGTCATTCCTGCCAAAGAGTGAGCCAAGAAGGTGGTGCGTTTGCCCTCGGTAAAAGGTGCCTTTGGATTTTAACCATGTGTCCTGTCACAACTAAGCTCTTTTTCTATCTGAACTCAGCCCAAATCCACTTGGACTTGATAAGGAGTCAACAAGTGAAAACTATGGCCCAACTTTTTAATCATTCTTTCGTCTCCACATGAACTGGATTGAACTTTCCCCACAAAATGTAACTTGGCATTGACAGTAGCTCAAGAATTGTTTTTGGGGAATTTTGAAATCATTATAACAGGAGGTGTTAATGGGGCTCCTGGGGTGCAGGCTGCCTGTTAGGGGCACGTGGCTTCTTCAGACGTGCCCATCAGAGGAGGCTTTGGACCCAAAGCCTGACTGTGGTCTCTCTGTCCTTCAGTGGCTACAGGAAACTGCCAGTTTCTTGGCAAACATTTCAAAACTGAATTCAAGGTGGAAGGGGAGCCTGTGGTCCTGAAGTGCCCCCAGGTGCCATCCTGGCTGTGGGCGTCCGTCAGCCCCCACATCAACGTGACGTGGCGTAAAAATGATTCTGCTAGAACGGTCCCAGGGGAAGAGGAGACTCGGATGTGGGTCCAGGATGGTGCTCTCTGGATCTTGCCAGGCTTGCAGGAGGACTCTGGCACCTACATCTGCACTGTCAGGTGAGCCCCCCGGGACGAGGCCACAGAGCGGGGCTCCCTCCAGAACGGATTCGTGCGCGGTTCTTCACTGTCGGCCTGGATTTCGAAATGAGAATCTACCTTTTGTCCTCATCACTATTCCTGAACTACCTCGTACCCCGGAACCTTCCCCAGATGCCCTCATGGCTCTTTCCTCTCCATTTAAGTCTTTGCTCAAATGTCACCTCTTTGGAGAGGACATCCCTAGCCACTTTACCTAAAACAGTTCTCCTGACACTCTCTTTTTACCCTGCTGGCAGTTTTCCTCACCTGACACACATCTGTTTACGTGTTTAATGTCTGTCTACCCTGTAAGAACGTGAACCCTAGGAGGACTGGGACTTGGGCAGTTTTGTTCATGCCTGCGTCCATATAGACAGTGTGGAAACTGGAAAGGACTTTAGGAGTGAGTTGATCCAATTGCTTAATGTAAGCGTGAGGGGACCAAGCTCACTTATGAAGTGCTCCCAGGTGGCGGAGTGCTCCCCGGTGGCAGGTGTGGAACCGAGACCAGAACCCAAACCTCCTGGTGTGGGGTCCACCCCCTTCCCTCTTTGTCCTGTTGCTTTTTTCAAAAGTTGTGGTAACATACGCATAGCATCCAAGTTACCATCTTATCCCTTTTTCAGGGTACGCTTGGTGTGTTAAGCACATTCATTCACGCTGTTATGGGACCATCACCCCCCTTCATCTCCAGAACTCTTCATCATCCCACTGAAACTCTGAGCCCATTAAACACTAACTCCTCACTTCCCCCCAGCTCCTGGCAACCCCCATCCCGCTTTCTGTCTCTGTGAGTTTGGCTGCTCTAAATACCTCCTATGAGTGGAGTCATACAGCGTTTGTCCTTTTGTGAGTGGCTCATCTCACTCAGCATGGCGTCTTCAGGGTTCATCCATATTGCAGAGTATATCAGAATTTCATTCCTTTTTAAGACTCAATATTATTCCATGGCATAAATACACCATATTTTGGTACTGCCTCTGGGCCGTTGTGTATAATTTTGGTCTGAACATAGGTGTACAAAGATCTGTTGGCGTCCCTGCTTCCAATTCTTTTGGGTATATACCCAGGAGAAAATTGGTGGATCAGATGGTAATCCTATGTTTAATTTTTTTGAAAACCAATATATTGTCTGCCACGGTGCCTGCTCCATTTTACATTTCCACCAGCAACGTACACCCGTTTCAGTTTCTCCACATCTTCACTAACACTTTTATTTTCCGCGTTTTCTTTTTCTTTTTTTTTTTTTTTGGAGAGGGATAATAGCCATCCTCCTGGGTGTGAAGTGGTATATTATTGTGCTTTTGATTTGCGTTTCCCTAATGATTCGTTATGCTAAGCCTATTTCCAGGTCATTTATTGGCCAAATGTCTATTCAAGTCCTTTGCTTACTTTTAATTTTTAAAGTTTTTTGTTGTCTTATTTTTAATTTCCTTTAAAAATGGAAAAATAATTAACATGCAGTGTTATATTAGTTTCAGGAGCAGAGTACAATGATTCAGCAGTTCTATACATTTCTTAGTGCTCAGCACAATAAAGGGTGCTCTTAATCCCCTTCGTCTATTTCACCCATTCACCTCCCCTCTGGCAACCACCAGTTTGTTCTCTGTATTTAAGAGTCTTGTTTGTTTGTCTCTTTTTTTGTTCATTTGCTTTGTTTCTTAAGTTCCACCTGTGGATGAAATTATATGGTATCTATCTTTCCCTGTCCTGACTTATCTCACTTAGCATCACACTGTTTACATCCATCTATGTTGTCGCAAATGGTAAGATTTCATTCTTTCTCAGGGCTGAGTGTGTGTTCAATCTTGTCAATGAATCCTGCCTAGGAAATAGACAAGCTCTTATTTCCATTTCAGGGAAATGTGGATGTTTGATTTTACAATAGCTATCAATGCATAGTTTTCCTTTCCTTTTATTGTAGAAGAATTCCAAAGTTTTCCTAAGGAGCACTACTAGGAAAATTTAATAGTGTGGTAGAAAAGGAATGGAATTTGGAGTTAGGATAGTGTGGGTGTGAATCCCAGCTCTCTCCTTTTCTAGATGGTAGGATGTTGGTCTTACAACTTGGTATCTATGGGTCTCGGTTTTCTCCTCTGTAAAGAGAGTTGTTGGGAGAGTTCTATGAAACCGCAGCATGTGAAGCACCCAGTTACAAGGAGCACCATAGAAGATGGTCGATATATACATGAAAGTGCCTTTCCTTTCCTAAAGGCAATACTTATTGACTCCTGTAGTGATACTATGCAAAAATCAGGGAGATGAGAACGGAGTCATGTTTGTCTTAAAGTTTGTTTTTATACTTGTTTTAAAACATTGCATCTCATAGTCTCATTGTGTTTTCTATTCTTGTAGAAAAAAAGAGGTCTGAGATTGAGGGGGGCAGTCAATATCTCAGTGTGGGTCAAGGCTTCGCATGTGAGTCTACCTGGCTGATCTCTAGAACTCTCTTCCAGCTCTGAGATTGGGCTCCCAGTGGGCTGAGAGTCACTGGCAGTTGCCATATTACCCTTTGGCACTTGTAGTCATAGCGCATGAAGCAGCCCCGTTCCTGTGAGTTTTACAATCTTCTGATCCAGGACCCACAAGGCCTTTCTGTCAACCAGGATGGGCTAGTTATGCTGCTAAATCAAGCCTCCCCCAAATTTCAGTGACTTAAAACAATAGATGCTTATTAATCACACTTGCAGCAAGCCAACAAATCCATGTTGGGTTCGGAGACAATCGAGGACCCAGATGGAAGGAGTAGCCACCATCTCAAGTGTTGACTGCCATACCAGAAGGAGACGTGCTCTGGAGTGTCTTGGGCTCTGGAGTGTCTTGGACTCTATGGCTATTAAAACTTTGGTGTAGGGGCACTTGGGTGGCTCAGTTGGCATCCGACTTCGGCTCAGGTCATGATCTCGTGGTTTGTGAGTTCAAGCCCTGCATCAGGCTGCGTGCTGACATCTCAGAGCCTGGACCCTGCTTCAGATTCTGTGTCTCCCTTGCTTTCTGACCCTCTCCGACTTGTGCTCTGTCCTGTGTCTCTCAAAGATAAATACACATTAACAAAAAACAACACTTTGGTGGAGAAGTGACAAACATATATCTCATTGACTAGAGTCATATAACTGCTCCCACCCAAAGTGGGGTCATGACCATGATGTGTTAATTCCACTGTGTGGTTAGGGTGGGGGAATTGGACACATTTGATGAATAACACTAATGATCCCTTTGTTGTGAGGATGTAACACACATGGAGAATGTGAGTGGTGATCAAATCATTCCATGCCCATCTTTCTTTTGCGTCAGTTTCACGGAGTGTCTTGCCCAAGGGGAATTACCAGATCAATAATGTGAACAGATTTGTACTTTCAATATGTGTAGTAAGTTTGGTTTCCAGAGGTACTGCCCTAATTTATGGGTTTTCCCAGAGCCTTACCAGGCTTCTAACCTTGATTTGACCTCTTAATTTCTGTACAGCCTTAGGAAATAACTTAATTTCTATATACCTAACTTTCATCATCTAAAAATGATATAATAATAATTCCTGCCTCGTATAGAGTATACAACACAGGGCCTGGCAAGTACCTCCTCCAGCTGCTGGGATGACTATTTTCAGATATACACTCTTCTTTAGACTTGTCCTCACTTACATTTTTTTCTTATTTAAAATTTTTTTAATGTTTATTTATTTTTGAGAGAGAGAGTGAGCATGCAAGCAGGGGAGGAGCAGAGAGAGAGGGAGACACAGAATCTGAAGCAGGCTCCGGGATCTGAGCTGTCAGCACAGAGCCCAACACGGAGCTTGAACTCACAGACCATGAGATCATGACCTGAGCTGAAGTCGATTGCTCAACCGACTGAGCCACCCAGGCGTTCCTCATCTTTTACGTTTCTTACAGTGAGATAATATATTTTTCAAGGTGACACAGTTAACTTCCTGCATTTCTTTGTGCCTAAATTGTTTGTTCATCTTTTTCCTTTTATAAACCAGACATGAAATATAATATAGATACTGGCTCTATATACTTGAATTAATTCTTTTTACTTTCAGGTAGCAAGCTTTTATCATTTACTTCATTTACATACATTTTTCACATTTTATTCCTTCTTTAGATATAGATTGTTCTTCCTTTTGCTGTAGAGATCCCCACCGCCCCCGCCTTCCTTATACAGCACACTTTTCTTTTTGTACCGCACACATTTTCATAGTCTCTGTTGATGTTGTATTTCTTAGATAACCAGGGGCTTAGCTGAGATCACTGTATTTTAATGTTTCCCCCCATGTTTCTATCAATGTTTTCTGCCCTTTCCCCAGCTCTAGGGTCTTGATAGAATTATGATATTGAGATTAGAGTTAGGCCAAAAAAAAAAAAAACAAAACCCAAAAAAACCAAAAACCCCAAATGAAAAACAAAACAAACTTGCCACGTTCAATTCCCCATGCCACATGCCATATTGCAAAAACATTTTATAGATCTTACACAAAATTCTCAGCAGTTTTCTGAAATTCGCCTTAAGCTCATAGATGATTCCCAAGAGTGGTGGCTCTTAGGAAAACATCTCTCTTTTTGGATATGGCCTTCTGCTCTAGGAAGTTGAAGTGTGTTGGGGTTGTTGTCAGAGAGACCCCCAGAACCTGGAAAGGTTCAGGCCTGTTTGAAGGGTATTTGGGGACCGCTTAGTGACCTTGGATGGGGTTGAAAACAGGCTTGCAGAGGGTCCCTTTGGGAAAAATGCAAGCCACATCATCATCTTTTTTTTTTTTTTTTTTTTTTACAATAGTTATGACGTGGTACTTTCTTCTTTTTTTTTTTTTGTCTCTCAGGGACTCAAAAAGATCAGGAAGAGAAGCATTGCAATACTCATCCAGAAAATGCAGGACACAGAATTTAATGGGCTTGGGGAAATTCTTCTTTTTTTTAATGTTTCATTTTATTTTTGAAGGAGAGACAGAGTACAAGTGGGGCAGAGGCAGAGACAGAGAGGGAGACACAGAATCCAAAGCAGGCTCCAGGCTCCAAGGTATCAGCACAGAGCCTGATGTGGGGCTCGAACTCATGAATCGTGAGATCATGACCTGAGCTAAAGTGAGATGCTCAACTGACTGAGCTACCCAAGTGCCCCAAATTAGTCTTAATTTCATTTAGCCTTACTGTTATTTTGCCTTGTCATTTATTGTCCTTTTTTCTCTTTAACATCAGAAACGCCTCTTACTGTGATGAAATGTCCACTGAACTCAGGGTTTTTGAGAAGACAGAAGCTTCCCTGCCTTTCATATCATACCCGCAAATTCTTACGCTATCAACCTCTGGGTCTTTAGTTTGCCCTGAGCTGAGTGAATTCACCCGTAACAAAATGGACATGAAGATTCAGTGGTACAAGGTACATGTTTAAAAATGGCCATTTAATTAAAATGTGTATAACTGGCTACAGGAAGGATTTAAAATACCCATTCTGAAGATAACACATTCACTTTTGTATTTCTGATTTTTCCCGCAACTAGTTAGTTTAAAAAGGACCACCATTAATATGTTCTACTCGTCTTTATGTGGCTGGGGCAAGGGTCCTCAGAGTAGGAATTTGCGAAGACAGAATGTAAAATGAATGTAGAGTAAGTGACAGTTGAAGAAAATAGCTTTTTACTCTGTCATTTGTCTGTAACAATGTACAAAAAACCATTTATTTAACAACCATGTACACATATTAATGAAGCTTTTTAAAAGCACACGATAATTAACTTGTGTGTTAAATACAAACAACTTGTGGGGCGCCTGGGTGGCTTAGTCGGTTAAGCGTCCGACTTTCGCCGAGGTCATGATCTCGCGGTTAGTGGGTGCGAGCCCCGCGTCGGGCTCTGTGCTGACTGCCAGCTCAGAGCCTGGAGCCTGTGTCAGTCTGTGACTCCCTCTCTCTCTGACCCTCCCCTGCTCACGCTGTCTCTCTCTCTCCTAGAAATAAATAAAAATATTAAAAAAAAAATACAAACAACTTGTTTTCTTGTCTGATTGACTAAATACTATCATCAGATCGCTTGTGTAGACCAGCTGTGGGCAAATGATAGCTATGACCAGGGGCCAAATTGAGTGACTACCTGTTTTTATATGCTGAGGATAGTTTTTTATTTTTTCCTTTCTTTCTTTTTTTATTTGAAAGGGAGAGAGAAGGGAGGGATATAGAGGGAGAGAGAGAGAGAATCTTAAGCATGCTGAGCACGGATCCTGATGTGGGACTCAATCCCATGACCCTGGGATCATGACCTGAGCCCAAATCAAGAGTTGGACACTCAAATGACTGAGCCACCCAGGCGCCCCCTAGTTTTCACTTTCTTAAACGGTTAAAAAAATAAAATAAGACTGGTATTTCCTGACATACGAAAGTGAAGTAGAATTCAAATTTCAGTGTCCATAAATAAAGTTTTACTGGGACACGGCCATACTTACTGTTTCTGTGGTCTCTGACTGCAAGGGCAGAGCTGAGTAAGCTCTTCAAACTTACCAGGGGACAGAGGCCATGTGGACTGTAGGCCTGAAATATTAACTATCTGGTCCTTAACACAAAAATTTGCTGATCCCCGTTAAAGACAGACCATAGACTGATACTGAAAAGTAGAGTTACTTGTTTAAAATTTGATATCGGGCTGCCTGGGTGGCTTAACCGACTGGTTAAGCCTCCAACTCTTGATTTTGGCTCGGATCATGATCTCGCAGGGTGTGGGATTGAGCCCCGTGTCCGGCTCTGCACCACAGTACGGAGCCTGGTTGTGATTCTCTCTCCCCCCTCTCTCTGCTCCTCCCCTGCTTGCACGCACTCTCTCTCTCAAAATAAATAAACATTAAAACAATAAAAAATACAATTTGATACAAATGAATTATTTAATCAAGAATAGATCAACCAGTTGACTGGTATTATAGCTACAAGATAAAAAAAGGATATCAATGCTAAGCTTTACTTAGCCTGTACTGGGTAGAAGTCTATTCTAGACCCCCTGGCATATAAACCAACAAAGCAGGGACTTCTAATATCTCCATTTTACAGATTAAAACATGGAGATACAGCAGTATAAGGCACTTGTCCAAGGTCGCACAGCTGGTAGATGGTGCAGCCAGGACTCCAGCCCTGGAGGCCAGGCTCCATACACACCTGCTGTGCAGGGGAGCCCTGGGGGCTTGGGGGGCTTGGAGGAACGGGGGTGCTGAGCCCCGTTTGGGTTTTCATGTTTGGCTACTCATGTTAGGAACAGTAAAATCTCTTCAGTTAAATAGATTGTAAAATAATACTTTATGAGCCATTAGCTGACAAATCTTTTTGGTTATGTCTGTGCTACCATTCAGAGCAAGAGTCTGAAATAGCTCAAGGTTATGTTTGACTATTGCAAGCTTTTGGTCATCATGGTTTTGAGAGAGAGGTTCCTGAGAACACTTTGTGCTTGTTAGGATGTTTTCTTGAATCTCATTCAACTTTTTCTGTTCTTGGAGGCCTTGCTCTTGAGGATTCTGTTACGTAAAACCCACAGACTCTTCCGCCTATATGAGAAGTGGGCCCTCATTTCTCACATTTAGTTTTTTATACAAAATTTCCCCCATCTTTACTGACTCCTAAAATTGAAATGACCTTTAAAGTAATTACGGCAACATCATTTCTTCTGACTATTACCTTTCAAGTCACAAGTGATTGAGGGTCAGAGACAGAGAAGGAGAGAGAGAAAGAAAGTCCCATGAGAGGCAGAGAGAGAGAGAGAGAGAGAGAGGGAGGGAGAGAAATGGGGCTCGAGATCATCCGATGTGGGACTGGAACTCACTAACTGTCCGATCACGACCTGCGCTGAAGTCAGATGCTTAATGACGGAGCCACTCAGGTGCCCTACAATTTTGTTTTCTATGTTGACAAATTCTCTCTGCTAAAAAACACAATTAACAGTGTGTCCAAAGTACATTTGCAGAGTAAGTACCAGGGCAATTGTTGGGTTGCGTATTCAACATCGATGGAAACACTGATGCTAGCCATATAGCTTTTGAGACATAAATTAGTACATAGTATAACTTTGAGAAATATTTTCCCTTAAGGATTCTGTCCTTTTGGACCAAGACAATGAGAAGTTCCTAAGTGTGAGGGGAACCTCCCGCTTACTCATATATAATGTGTCTGTGGAGGATGCGGGGTATTACAGCTGTGCCGTGGCGTTCATCCACGAAGGCACGCGCTACGACGTGACTAGGAATATTGAACTGCGCGTCAACAGTGAGTACTTGCCATTGAGGCCACCTCCACCCTGTCAACAGCAACACGCAAAGAACAAATTAGGGTTCTCATGGAATTCCTTGCATGTCTTTGGTAGGAAAGGCAGACAGACCTGTCAGTTCTCCTAAAGCATCAGGCTAATGAGATATGTGTGAACCTTTGAAAGATAGAAAGCGGGGTGTTTTCATGAGGAAAGATGAATCCCTGGGTAATTGATGGGGTTCTAAGTGTGAGGCTAAAACACACCAGCAGAGGGGGCCAAACACTTGGTTCACTTGGAAGGTCTCTTTGGAAAGCCCCCTTTGGAAGGCTTGCGCCCCAGGACCAGCCATCAGAACATGGTTGCCATAACTTTATGTATAATTCTAGGATCCTAGAATTTTATTGGAGTTTTCAGATACAAGGCTGTGCATTGGCAGATCCGGTGGAAATTGCCCTTTTTTGGTCTCCCCAAGGCATGTGGCCCTTGCAACTAGAATTTCAAACAGGGAGTGCTCTCATTGGTTTAAATGAGTTCCACTTGAAAATAATATTGTGAACAGTGTTGTGATTAGTATTTAAAATTGTTCAGCATTTCCTGCATACCTCCTACGTGTTGGACATCAAGCTTGGTGCAAGGAACACAAACGTGTTTAAATCCTGGACTCTGCCCTGAAGAGTATCTCTCTTCTTTCTGTTATATAATGAACAGGGACACAGTTGGAGTCTTCTAGGGCATTTCAGAGGGCTTTGAAAATACATTAAGGTTAAATAATTGGTCACTGAAGGGAGAAGACTTTTTTTTGGTCACAGGGAATCCAGAGATTCAGTTTTACTACAGGGAAAATGGTGTCTCCCATGAACTGATATCTCTAGATTATATATACATATATATATATTACTGTCTTGTAAGGATTCCTTCATATCAAAAACTTGTTCCCCCACAGGGGAATCATGGAAACTTTCTGGGACTTCGAAGAGGCTCTTAATTATCCTGTTTATGCGATACTCCACAGGAACACTAGGGGGCGACCAACCTTCATAATACCCTGTGTTATGATCACACTATTTCTCAGAGGTTCTCAAAGAGTGGTCCTGGCCCAGCCAGCAGTAGCAGCACTTGGGTGTTCACTAGACTTGGAAAATCTCAGTCTCCATCCCAGACCCACTGAGTTAGAAACAGGCATGTGGTGGGGGGAACGCAGCAATCCGCGTTTAACATGCGGCCCACGTGATGCTGATACACCTTCAGATTTGAGAAGCACTGAGGTATAGCCTCCGAAGCTCTTTTCTCACCTCCTCTCCATTGCCCCAGCCTCTGTGCAGCAGGCATGTGATTATGTGTGTTTGTCGGGGGCAGTTATGGGGAGGCTCCCGGTCATGATCAGGAAGTCATCTGGTTTGGTTCTCTACTGCGAGACTGTCTAATCCTTACTCATGTTAGGATTTCAAAACGTTCTGCAGAGAAGATGTAAGGATGGAGCAAGCAGTTATGGAGATGGGCAGCCCCTTCGCCCACCCCCCAGTCATGCTCTTTGCTTCAGTTCAGGTTCCCAGTTTCTTCAAACTGTTGGGAGACCTTCCTCTTGAGGAGTTGGGTTGCTCTTCAGAAGTCCACTTCTGTCTGTTTCCCAAAAGAGTTACGTCTTCAATGAACAAGACATAGTAGCTAATGCTGGATTGCGCCCATTATCACTCATTGCGGGCTTAGCAGTATAAACAGGTGGTTCCCAAATTCCTGTGTCTTTTTAAAAGTTTTTGAAGTGACTCTTCAGTATTCTGAGGCAGGCACTGGGGGAGGCAGGAATGGAAAGGTTGGAGATATTTTAGGGCAAATAGATGTTGGGGTAAAGCCTATCTTGAGGACATTGTGAACCTTACTATTAAGAATTTATTCAGGAAGCCAGGGAGGGGAATGGTTAATTATTTATCACAGAGCAAAGAACATCTGTTAGCGGAATGTGTATTTAACTGTGGCCTCTTCCAGTAATATCTCTTCTGGGAAAGGCATTGGCCAGAGATGCTCACTTTTGTGGAGAGCCTGTTTCCTTTGCTAGACAAAGGTTGAACCTTACAATGGCTGGCCGTGCTGTCGAAGAGAACTTTGTTAATTAGCTAAACAATGGAATTTGACTCTCAGCTTGAAATGAAGGCTTTCCTAATTGAATCTGTTTTCCTCCTATCGTTCTCAGAAAAAGAAGAGGAGACAATTCCTGTGATTATCTCTCCTCACCAGACCATCTTAGCTTCACTGGGTAAGGCCCACAAGGACCATGTGACCCACAGGGGTGCCTGCAGTCCCTAAGCCCAGGGTCCTAGACCCTTGTGACCCCTGACTGCACCTGCCCCTTTGGCGTGCAGCGTGCCTGGGTGGGATCCCAGAACCCCGGCATGAGAGGCAGGTAACAGATACGAAGGACCATTTCCTTCTGTGAAATGTTAGAAATGGCATTGATTGAAAATAGGTCTACGTGGGGCGCCTGGGTGGCTTAGTCGGTTAAGCGTCCGACTTTCGCTTAGGTCATGATCTCGCGGTTCGTGGGTTCAAGCCCCGCGTCGGGCTCTGTGCTGACTGCCAGCTCAGGGCCTGGAGCCTGTTTCAGTCTGTGACTCCCTCTCTCTCTGACCCTCCCCTGCTCACGCTGTCTCTCTCTCTCTCCTAGAAATAAATAAAAATATTAAAAAAAAAAAAAAAAGAAAATAGGTCTACTCTGTTACATGAAAACCCTGCCTACAAAAACCTGAATGGAAAAATCCAAAAATTCTGGTAACAGTTCTTAACTGTATGAGACAATTAACAGTACAGTTCCCTCATGCAACCAGCACCTGTAGTATATTTTAAATCACTCACTTTACCGAAACTTGGCGCATGCTCAGCACATCCCTAAGAGTCCATTTATAAAGTGAGGCTGATCCTGCCATTGCTGGCCCTACAGAGATGGTCTCTTATTGCCAAAATAGCTGGTCAGCTGGTCAACTGAAGTGATGAAAGTGACTGACAGGGTTTTCCATTTTTCACTCCAGCCCACACACACACACTACCCTGTTGAACATTACTATGTCTAATAAGATGTCACTCAATGCCAACATTGACCCTGTGGGAGGGCCTCATTTCTCCCATTTTCCAGAAGGAAAAGCTGCTCAAGGGTCATGGTGGCTCAATAAAGGTCAAAAGCCACACTCAAGTCAGTCTGGCATTCAGACAGGCCTGTACCTATTTTTTATTTTTTTGTATAATGGTTTTGTAGACCTTATCCATCCTTCTTTCCTTCCTTTCTTCCTTCCTCTCTCCTTCCCTCCCCATCCTTCTCTTCATCCATACATCCATTTATCTGTCCATCCACCCATCTACCCATCCATCTCTTCCCTCCATCCATCCATCCATCCATCCATCCTTCCCTCCATCCATTCATCCATCCATCCATCCATCTCCTCTGTTTGGTGTTGGGCTTATATTCTAAATTTTAATTGGTGGCGATAAAGAAGGGAGACTTTTGTGCAGATGCTGGGATTGCTCCCTGACACATGAGTTGCAGCTCCTGATGGCTGTCTTGGCCCTTGGGACAGTTGCCTGGGAACTGAGGGAAGTGGGGACAGGGGTTGGTGCAGACTGGGACTCCAGCCTCCTGGAGTGTTACCCAGCTGAGTGGAGCTGAGTTCTCCATCTTGTTGCTTTGAATGCACTGACATGTGGGGCAGAGTCACACGAAGCCAGATGTAATGGGTTCCTTTGGGCTGAGAACCTTGAAGGTCATCATAGGTGGTGAGGGAGGGAGAAGAGCTGGCATTCTGAGCCTCAAGTGGGGCCAGGTACATTCAAAGACACACCACAGGGAGGCATATCCCTCATGAGGAAGAAACAGATCAGATGGATTTGTTCCTTTTTTTTCTTTCCTCCCCTTTGGTGACTTAAAAACTGTAACTCATAATGACTGAGGCAGGGGAGCCCGGTACCATTACCCTGAACAACAGTAGAAGGCACCATTCCTATAAAATTCAGTGGTTTGTTAAAGGGTTAATCCCAAATGAACATGATCTGGGACTAGGGAGTTCCTGGGGGAAACATGAGCCCTGAGACCAGCAATGGGTGGAGAGAAAGAATCCAAACATTAATCTGGATTTTTTGAGGTGCCTAGAATAAATTGAGGGAGAAGCCGTTCATGAATTCAGAATGTTCTGTAGGAGCTGAATGGCCTTGGGGAAGCCATTTGCCCCCCCCGGATTTTCATCTGCCATGAAGACCAGTTGAGGGAACGGGAGACGCTTGATAAATACTGGTGTTCTACGTGAACAGAATCATATGAGGAAACTAAGTTTCCTTCTAAGGAAGGAGTTGGCTGGTGAGAGGTGTTCATGAAGATGGGGAAGGGTCCAAAGCTCAGATTTGCTGATGGACGCAAGGACTGATGTGACCCCTGTCCCCTGCCTGGGTTCTGACGCTTGATGTGTGCCGTCTTGCTGTATGCAGGATCAAGACTGACAATCCCATGTAAGGTGTTCCTGGGAACTGGTACACAATCGACCACCATGCTGTGGTGGATGGCCAACACCACCAGCATAGAGAGCGCCTACCAGGGAGTCCGCGTGACCGAGGGGCAGCGCCAGTAAGTGTGTGAAGACCTTTGTCAGCTGAGAAGCATCTTCTAGGCACAGTTGAAGGCTTTGCTCTGACATAGGCTTTGCTCTTCCTTTTAGAGACAATGTCATATGGAACCTATTCATAATGACACACCTACTACATTAAAAATAACCTTTTTGATGCTAAGCTGTTGGAGTTTTAGGATTTTATACACTGAGTTTGGCTGAGCATTCCCAATTGCTGTTAAGAATTGAACTGTCTCTAGCTGAGTTGCAGTGGACTGCTTGGCATCGCTGTTGCATTTTCTAGCTGTTTCATTAAATATTTGTGTCTTGAGTTTTGCAGTTTTCAAAAAAATCCCCACAAACTCTGGCGTTAATACATTTCCACTCTGCACTCTGCAACCTGAGTGTCAAACATTTTCACAAAGCCCTCAAAAGGCTCTGAAGTTTAGCCCCAGTATCCGAGGGCCTCCTCTCTTTCTCAAGGAACCGGGGGCTGCCGCAGGCACTCAGGAAGGTTAATATTAAAAGAAAGGAAGAATTCTGTTCTCATAAGCACTAATCTATGGAATATGTTTTCTCACTCTGAAAGTAGATCAGACCTTGTAAATGTGAACCATTAGTGTTTGAGGAAGGGAGACCGTTCAATGTTCCCAATTATCAAGTATTTTTGAAATTACAGTTTTGGTACTCTGAATTAGCCTGAACTTTCTATTGCCAATTTTTTGTCTTTTTTTTTTTTTTTTTTTTTTTAATAAGACCTAGCCAATAAGGTCTTTCTGGATGCAGTTTAGCAGGTCAGAATTATATGTGGTTAGCACAGCTGCTTGCTTGCACAGGAAAAGCTTGGTATCGCTAACATACCCCTGTCTGCTTACTCATACTACCCACTCACTTAAAGGAGCCTGTTTTCTCCCAAGGAGGAAAAAAAGTAGCCCTAGTAGATCCTCAACCATGGTATATTTATTCATGCTCATCAGTAGCAGTGAAGCATCTTCATATCACTATCACTACAAATGGCTGACTTGAGCCATTCTGTGGCCCGTCTGCGGCACTCTGCTCCCAACTTGAGTTTGCAGAGTGACATAGCTGGCAAAAGAGCTGAGAGGAGGAGGAAATACCATGGAGGCCAGGATTCCTGGAAACTCCCTCCTCCTCCTCAATATGCAAATGATTTAGTGGTGTTACAGTCAAGTTTCCCCAAACCAGACATTTCTATTCCCACTGCCGCCTTTTTGTTCATCAATGGCCTTAAAAAATGAATTCTTCCATTATCCAAACAAAACTGACTCCTCTTAAGTTCTCCTTGGGACAAGTGTGCTGTTACAGGGACCAACACCTTTAGTGTCACTCCCAACAGCTTCAGTGTCATTCCCACCTTTGGGCATGAAATTCTCCCAGATAGGGAACGAATATAATGAATGGCAAGTGCTCTTGACTTTATGAATCGTGACCAATTTAAGCACAATGGATCCTTCTCATTGAGAGTGTTTGGATGTCTTCATTGTAAAGATGAACTTGCATTTGATACATCACACTGAAGTGATTATTTCCTCACTCAGGGAATACTCAGAAAATAACGAGAACTACATTGAAGTGCCACTAATTTTTGATCCAGTCATAAGAGAGGATTTGAACATGGATTTTAAATGCGTTGTCCGCAACACACTGAGTTTTCAGATGCTACGCACCACGGTCAAAGAAGGTATGTATTTGAGGACATGAAAGAGGGAAAAGAGCATGTTAGATATTCTGCGGCTGCTAGACAAAGCTACAGGCTCTCCAGATGATTGCTTAGAGCACCAGAAGCAGATCTCTCATTTTTCTCTGATTTATTTCTTGTAGGGTGGGGGCTGGTTTGGAAGATTATATTCAAATCAAAATTTAAACGGCAAGCTGGTGTTTAGACAAAACACAAAATTCTGTGATAAACGTAAAAAAAAAAAAATCCCTGGTGTCCTCATGTAGGTCTGGCCTGGATCAGCAGGGCCACCTGTTTCTCCATGATGCCTTGAGCAGGACGGTGGGACATTCTTTATCCTGAAATTGAGAAACTCCCTTCTCTGAGACCTGGGGGCTGGAGATGGGGGCTGGGAGATACCCAGGGCTCAGGACAGCTTCAGGGTTAAAGTCATCAGTTGACAGGAGAGAAAGCACAAGACTAAAGTTCAATCAACCCAGTGTCCATTTAAGGACCTTTAAAAATGGGTTGCCTGGGTGGCTCAGTTGGTTAAGCTTCTGACTTCAGCTTAGGTCATGATCTCCTGGTTTGTGAGTTCCAGCTCCGCATCGGGCTTTGTGCTGACAGCCCAGAGCCCGGAGCCTGGTTCAGATTCTGTGTCTCCCTCTCTCTCTGCCCCTTTCGGCTCATGCTCTGTCTCTCAAAAATAAATAACTGTTTAAAAAGAAGAAGGAGAAGGAGAAGGAGAAGGAGAAGGAGAAGGAGAAAAGCCTATGCTATCATTGTTTTTTGTTTTTTGTTTTTGCGTATGCTATCATTTTGACCAAGCTGATTGCTTCCCGGTGTTTAAACACTGAGTGGGAAAGGGAAATAGAGTTGGTGCAGAGACCCTTGACAGTCAGAGAGGTTAGCAGGGGACAAGCTGAAGTGATGATCTCCTGCTGCAATCTTATTATGCCTTCTGGGCAGTCTGTAGCAATCAGACAAATTACTCCACATTCTCTGCGCTTGCTGGGAAGGCAGCTGCAGATGGACTTGTAATTGAAAAGCTGAGGATTTGGTTAAGCCTCAGGGCAGAGCATGACAACACACAGTACTTTTCTCTAATTGTGGTCTGAGCACCACCAGTGAGGCCCACTTGAGCCACTAGTTGGGAACACAGAGCCCTGGGCTCACCCCACATCTGCTCCGCTTCTCACAGGGTAAGGCAGAAGACTGCAGTTCATCGGACTCCTTTCATACTCAAGTTTGAGAACCATTGTCCTAGATCATTTCCATGAAAGAGTCAGTAGTTGTAGAGAGTTGGAAAGGAAGGGCCCCACGGAAAGCAGAGTCCACTTCTGGGGTCCAGATTGTGACCCAAAAGAACCTGTGGTTTGTCCAGTTGTCCTGAAGCTGGGACCCTTTAACCATTTCTGTAAGGTGAGCCTTCTCCCTGCATGTCCTGTGCTGGGATGGACATGGCTCATGGCCGCGGACGGAGTCGAAAGCCTATCACCAGTACTGAGAGGTGCATCTGGGCGGCTGCTCAGAAAATTAAAGCTTTTCTCACTTCTAAACCTTGTAGGATTTTAAGAGAGAAGAATCATCTGGAGAAAGGGTCTGAGATTGTGCTGATTTCTGGAGGCCTAGACAGACTATGATAAATAGCTTTAAAATGTAGAACTCTGGCTTCATCATCGAGTCCAGTAACACTTATGTTCTTGTGTTTACTTGTTATGTTTTTATCTGCACTCTATTTTCATAACACAGGGATACCAAGGAGTAGAATATAAAATAGCTGGGTGTAAGCAATAATCTTGGCACCAAAGGCTCCTTTATTTGAAGTTTGTTTTCTCTTCCTTTGTTACTTTATATAATCTTCCTGATAGTCATGCTCACTGGAAAGGGGCAGACTGTACCCTGGCAAAGTCACAGTCAGCTGGTTGAAGCCTAAACAGAGACTGTCTTTTAAAAAAAAATTCTTTTTAACATTTATTCATTTTTGAGAGACAGAGAGAGATGGAGCTTGAGTGGGGAAGGGACTGAGAGAGGGAGACACAGAATCTGAAGCAGGCTCCAGGCTCTGAGATGTCAGCACAGAGCCCCGTGGGGGCTCGAACTCACAAACTGTGCCTAAGTTGGATGCTTGAATGACTGAGACACCCAGGCACCCCTAAACAGATACCATCTTACTGCACACGATGCAACAGGCAGAACAAAGACCCTTGACCCATCACCCCACTCTGTGCTGTTTCTCTTTAATGGATTTTTGTTCTACCTTCCTTGTTTCCCTAATACCACAGATAGCATTCTTAAGTGTCCTTGATCTGCTGTGAGGGACATGCTTTCTGAAAAATCAGTGCACTATTATTAGAAAAAACAAACCCCGCTTCCTGTCTTCTCCGTAAACCTGCCCCGCACTGTCCTGTTTGGCAGTGAGAGAATGTTCCATCCACCCACGATGTGACTCTGTTCTTCCTACAGCTGCCTCATTCTCCTGGGAGATTGTGCTGGCCCCCCTCTCCCTGGTCTTCTTGGTTTTGGGGGGAATATGGATGCACAGACGGTGCAAACACAGAACTGGAAAAACATATGGTTTGACCACGTTAAAGACTGGCCCTTAAGATTTTCAGTCTTATCCGAGTGAAATAAAGGCAATAAAACAATTCAAATCCAAGCGATATCCTTTTTCATGGAAGTAGCTTGACCTTTTTGAGGATTCTGCTCTTCCTCAGTTGTTTAACAGGAGCTGCTGTGTTTATGTTGAAGGACCAAGAATGAATGTGATGTTTATCCTGATGCTGAATGACAGGAGGAAGTGTGCATGTGGGTGGGTGCGTAGCTCCCTGCCACTTGTGACCTGTTTAAAAGAGTGAGGTGCCCCCAGGCCTGAATTAGAGTCAAAAACATCTACGTGAGTTTTATAACTCATTCATTCCTCATTTAACAAATACATTTTAGAAGTCTCCCTTGGGTATGCTCCATGGAAGGGTTATAGATTCAAAAATAGTCGAGATGGAGGCTGCCTTTTTGGGAAGATGGAATTTCATTTTGAGATCAGAGTGATTTAGACATGCTACAGAAGGAGAATCAGCAAGAACTGCTGAGTTTTTTCAAAAGAATGAGCCAAAAAAATAGCAAATAAAATAGGGTAGGCTGTGAGAAAAACACGTTAGGACATATTAGTGAACTGAGAAACAGATTCAACTTTCTAACAAAGCTTCTGAAAATAAAGAGGAAGCAAAGGTATTGGGATAATTGCATACACATTGGGAAAAACATCACTAGGCTTCTTTTATGTCGTATTACCCTCCCCCCCCAAAGAATCCGAGTTAAATTAATAAATTAAATTTAAATAAATCAAATTGTGGAAAAATTAGCATGACTCACTCCTTCATTTATCTGAGTCTTTGTTCAAGACACCTTCCCAGAGGCATTTCTGAATGCCTCTTTTTCATCCCTCTCTGTCCCCTCCCTCTGCTTTGTGTTCTGATAGATCTTATCACCACCAGACCTTCCCTTACATATTTACTTATTTATTTTTGGTTTTTCCCACCGGAATTGCATGAGGGCAGAGGTGTTATTTTGGTCACAGCTGTATCCCCAGTACCTGGAATCGTGCCTGTCATACACTGAACATTTAATAAATGTTTGTTAGAATAAATGAACCTAGGATGTATTTTCTTTTGTTCACTACCAATAAGATAAAAGAATGGGCAGGGTGCAGATGGATGGGCTTCATTATGTTACAATTCCTGCCTCATGCAAGAATGAAAGCAAAATGTAAAAGATATTATGTCAGGCGAGTTCAAGGAATTAATAATGATAGCCTATATAGTTAATTCAGGCTTTAACAAAAGGCATCATGACCTTTCACAGATGGGGAAACACGAATAGGGAATTTATGGAACAAACACATAATGGAACGGTGGAAAAACGATCTGTTTCAGTAACAATCAGAGATGTAAATTAAAGCAACATTGAGATACCAAAGCACTCACACACTATCAAGTTTTAAAAGCAACATCAAGGTCATTTCCAAATCATAACTCCCATTTCCTATAATTCCATTTGTAACTTTAGACTGGGAAGTAGAAACATAATTTGTAACAAGACCGTAGGGTGTTGGGTACAGCTTGTATCTTCTTGCAAGAGTCGAGTGTAGGATCTCTTCTGAGCTCTGTTCCGAGATGTCATGTTGGTATAGCTTAAAATCCACCACCACGGGAGTACTGACACCATAGAAACTGGCAAATGCCACAGGCCAGCGGTCCCCTCCCAGGTACCCCACGACAGGGCCCCTGCAGATGCCTGGGAATGCTGTTCCTGGGAATTAATCTTAGACAACAACTGAATAGAAGATAAACAGATGTATGAAATATTTCAGTGAAACTCATCACCATGATAATGAACGGTTATGCACCAATTATAAATTATAATTTGCAAGAATACAAGACTGAAATACTTGTAATGTTATGGGAAAATTGTATATTTTATGCAATTTATATGATTATGACAATATTAAAATGCATACGCAGCTAGCAAACGGTGGAGAAAACCCAAGGATTTTGAAGATAGATTTCTTGGGTTTAATTCAAGGTTGACCATGTGGTGTCTCGCATCCTAGGCAAGGCCTTTAGTCTCTCTGTGTCAGTCAGTATTCTAATCTGGAAATGGAGATAATAACAGGAACTAGCCTAGAGTGCAATGTTTAATAATAAAGAACATAGGAGAAATATAAAGGAATAAAAATACTTGTATTGTTTAGGCCAAAGGTCGACACACTGCAGCCTTCCGGCCAAATGTAGCTTGTCCTTTGTTTCTGTAAATTAAGTTAAACGATTTTTTTAATGTTTATTTATTTTTGAGAGAGACAGAACACAAGTGGGGGAGGGGCAGAGAGAGAGGGAGACACAGAATCGGAAGCAGGATCCAGGCTCTAAGCTGTCAGCACAGAGCCCAATGCGGGGCTCCAACTCAAGAGCTGTGAGATCATGACCTGAGCCAAAGTTGGGCACTCATCCAACTGAGCCACCCGGGTGCCCCTGAAAATTAAGTTTTATTAGAACGCAGCCATGCCATTTTGTTGATGCATCGTCTATGGCTGCTTTCGCTCTTTGAAGGCAGAGTAGTTGAGACAACAAAGTCTGAACTCTTTGCTATCGGGCCTCATACAGAAAAAGTTCTCTGACCATGGTTTAGACCAAGGAAATGTATAGGCAGTTTTTTGAGCCTTACTTTTATATTTCCCTGCTACTATCTTCTCTGTCCTTCCTTTCCTGTTTTGTAAGCATGTAAGGAAGGAGAAGGAAATGGGAAGGGAGCAGCCAGAGCCTTTTAGCCTTGAATCAGGAACTTTCACCGTGAAGGAAGTGGAAACAAGGTTTGGGATAGAGGAAGGGGTGAGGACTTTGCAGGGGCTGCTCTGGGTGCTTCTGCCTCTTCTGGATCCTCGGCTTGGGTGCCGCCCTGCTCATGCCGCCCAGTGCTCTCTCAAGTTCCCTACCTTCAGATTCCGGCTGCTTCAGCAATGACCTTGAAAAGAAGCTGACTGCAGCCAGAAGACAACTTTTTAGACTCCACCTTGACTGCACGGCTTATGAACTTCCTCCTATCCATAGTTCACAGTTGGGGGTCATGCTCTTAGAAAGAATAGGAGGGAATTTTGGACACCAGATTTACAATAATATCAAGGTATAAGTGTGATATGGGGATCATTACATTTTGAAAGAAGAGTCATCATATTTCTTTTTTTTAAGTTTATTTATTTTGAGGGGGATGGTGAGGGGCAGAGAGAGGGAGGGAGAGAATCCCAAGCAGGCTGTCAGCGTGGAGCCGGATGCAGAGCTCGATCCCACAACCGTGAGATCACGGCCTGAGCCGAAATCAGGAGTTGGAGCTTAACCAACTGAGCCACATGGGTGCTTCAAAAGAAGATTCGTTATATTTCTAAGAGACATACAAGAGTATTCACGGATGAGAGTTGAGACTTGCTTCGAAACGGTCCAGTACCATGGCAGGGGTGGGGAATATAGATGAAATACAATTGTCCATGTGTTGACAATCGTTAACACCAGTCATGGGTGCATAGGGGTTCCTTATACAACTCTGTCTTTTTGCATATGTCTAGAAATTTCCATAATACACAGGAAAAAACTAACAATATAGAAATAACTCAATACCCGCTAGACAAGAGAATGAATCCATGAGCTGGGCACAGTGGAATCTTCTACAGCGGTGACATGCATAAAACACAGCTACCTGCAACAATATGGATGGGCCTTAGAAACCTCAAGTAAAAAATGAGTCCCAGAAACATCTATTTACAGCATGATGCCTTTTTATATAAAGTGAAAAACAACTAAAACTACAACTACTCTCTGTATGCATACATGCACACATACATGCATTTATACATATTTACATTGAAGAGCACATATGTGATAAAACTACATTTTAACCATATTTGGATGTGTATGTATCTATATTTAAAGAGCACATATGTGATTTTAAGATTTTAATTGTACATTAAAATGTACAATTGTCTACATTTTAAGAAGCAAGAGAATGAGAAACCCAAAGCTCAGATGGAGAACCAGGGCTGGGATGGGTTGGGAAGATGTACGTTTCATCAAGTCGGGATCTCACATTGAGTCATGGATTATTACTGTTTATTATCAAACAGATTAAGACACAGGCCACTCATGGACCAATGAAGAGTGTGTGTCTTGAACTTAGGATTCTGATTAATTCTATACATCTGAGTCCAAATTAAACAAACAAAAGAAACGAGGTGTTTTCTTAGTGTTTTCATCTGTGCTATTTTCCTTCTGTTGGTCGAAACTTCGAATTTGGATTTTTTTCGCCTCCCCATACAAAATCGGGGGGATGGGGCAGTAAATAGCATTTGACAGCCTCACACTTCAGCGTACTCCCTGCAGGAAAACAAGCCCTATGTAACAAAATACCACTTTCCCAAGAACTACCAGGATGCCAGTGGACACCAGTAACAGTTACCAACGATCATTTATGCACTCAAATTAAATTTGATGTCTCAAGTATTTTATGTGCTGTGGGAAAATATAGGGGCTTTTCAGAGCAGACAGGGTTGTAGATCTATGGTAAGATCTTCCAGGGACAGGGCACTTCTCATTGACACATCTCCACATCCCCAGCACCTGACATGGAGCCTTGGACCTAGTAGGTACTTAAGAAGTTTCTGGTGAGTGGATAGAGAAGTTGTGTGCTGCTTGGGTTTTCCCAGGACTCGCCAGCCTGTGTGGACAAATGGGATCCCACCAGTAGAACTCCTCCAAGTTTCCCAGCTCCTGCCCGTACTCCCAAATCCGCACTGGTTATCTGCACGACTCAAGCCAATAGCTCACTTGGACACATAAGTGGGCCTCGTGTTTGGTGGTTGTTTCCCTGCTCTTGTCCCCGTCCGCGGGCATCTGCCAACCATGCCATCTCTTCCTGGCTCCTCAGTACTGTGTCTGGCCTCCAAGAGAGCACTGTCCCCTCACAGAGGGCAGTGTTCTGGGGTGTCCCGGGGACAAGCCGTCCAGGCGCCACCCTGGGCTGCAGCCTCTATCAGCTGCGGTGCCAGGAGCCAGGAGCTCCCCCTTCATGGCTCATGTGGCCGGCCCGACAACCGCAGTGGTGGTGGGAGCCTGCACC